TTCTGGGCCCCTCACTACAGGAAGGACATTGAAGTGCTGGAGCGTGTCCAGAGGAGAGCCACCAAGCTAGTGAGGGGTCTAGAGAACAAGTCATACGAGGAGAGGCTGAGGGAACTGGGCATGTTTAGTTTGGAGAAGAGGCGGCTGAGGGGAGACCTCATTGCCCTCTACAACTACCTGAAAGGAGGTTGTAGAGAGGTGGGGGTTGGCCTCTTCTCCCAAGGGAATCATGACAGGTCCAGATGAAATGTTCTAAAGTTGTGGCAGGGGAGGGTTAGATGAGATATAAGGAAGAATTACTTTCCTGAGAGGGTGGTCAGGCACTGGAACAGCCTGCCCAGGGAGGTGGTAGAGTCACCATCCCTGGAGGGATTTAAGAAATGTGTAGACGTGGCTCTTCAGGGCATGCTCTAGTGCCCGAGATAATTGGTTTGTGGGTGGTTGTGATGGGGTGGGGTGTTGGGTTTTGTTTGGGGTTTTTTTGTTTTGTTTTGTTTTTTAAGGTTGGACTTGGTATCTCAGAGGTCCCTTCCAACCATGGTGATTCTGTGATTCTTCTCTAATAGATTTTTCTCTCTCTGACATCAGGAGGGTGATGTGTACCTATGAGGTAGGCTTGATAGCAATTGCCTACTTCCGTTACTCCTTTAATGGGAATCTGTAGGAAAGTCATGGGCTTTGTAGAATAAGAAAGTAAGTGCTGGAAATCAGCAGTGGTAGCTAGACAGAAAGGTGTCACCTTACCTCCCTTCTCATCAAAACTTCTGTGGGGTTATTTCAGGTGTAATTTATGAAAAGCTGTGCAGTATGTAGCTTTCCAGTGAACCTCTACTAGGTTGCATCCCACTATTTGACAAGTAGTGTGGTAAAGCATCTCTCTGTACAAGGTCAGATTAATCTTTTTTTTATAGAGTTTTACATGAATGCTTTGCTTGGGGATTGTTGTTTCTCCATGCATAAATCTTTATTATACCAACAGCCTGCAGCCTCAGTGAACCAAAGCAAAACTCATTTTTATTTTTCTTGATATTTATCACCACAGTAAGAGAACTCATTTGAAAAAGAGCTGTGAGAGTTTGCAGCAGAGTGGTGGGGGTTTGGGTGCTGTGAGCCTTCAGTGGGCTTATGCTTCTCCCTTTTAAATTTGAATGGAAATGTGCCAACTGGGCATCGTTCCCTTTGGGATGATACTGGGGATGGAATGAAAAGTGAACTTTTGTTGGAAGGTGCTATGGGAATAGAGGAGTAGGTTGTGCAAGCAACCATGCAGTTTGGTGTGGTGGATCTGATGTGCTGATGTGTGCAGGCTATGCTTTGCAGCCAGCTCAGTCTGAAGCCTCAATTTTTGCTTTCTGATGTGTTGGTTTGGGTTCAGGTAGGGTTCTTTAGACAGGAATGATAAATGTGCTGACATGTAAGTGCTTGTAGCTTTTACCAGGTGGCGAATTTGAGGCCTCCACCTTGAGGTTGACCTCACCTTTTTTATCTGTGCAATTAAAGATACAGTACATGTCTCTACTGTCTGCACACAGTGGCATTACTAGTGTGTGTTAGTTACCTGTGATGTAGCAGTGTACTTTTGTCAATGAATGCAAATAGTAAGAAAGATAAAACTAGAGGTTTTATTTTAAAATAATATTTTTCTGTGGAGAAAATGCATAATCGTACTTATCTAGGTTTTAACTTTGTGAACCGTCTACATTGATTTTGGTTCACTGTATGACTTCCAAAATCTGCAGTGCATGAAACCCAATTCCCACCAGTAATAACTTGGAGTAACGTCTGAGCCTGTGTAGGGAAAGACTTAGACTTGGTACATAACCACCACTGAGAAAAATTTTGTTCTGAAACTTCCTAAATTTTGAGTGCTTGACTTCACAATTTTAGCATCTTTTACAATGGCAATGTCATACCTGTTTCTCTAGTATGAACTGAAGAAGGCAGGAGCACTGTCATGGTCTCACCAGGAGATCCAGCCCATGGGCTTCTGCCACAGTGGCATAGCTGGCAACAGCAGCTGCCTGTTCCAGTCCTGAAATGGTTTTAGCAGAATTGTATGACTTGATGTTGCAGTGAAAAGCGCTCTCAAGTTATGAAATTTCACTTAATTTATTGCCAATTATTATAAACTTATTGAGAAATAATGACAATTACACGCTTGAGAAAACACCTTATCTTCCCTCCAGACAGCTTTCCTCCCTCCCTTGCCAGTCTTCAGTCCACTCCCCACACATTATACTCTGTCATGGGGGTTAGTGTGGGGTCATTTCCTTTTTCTGCCACTCCTCGTTTCTTGCTATCTTTTTTCCATGGTTCCAGTGTGGGGTCCTCCACAGGCTGCCATCCTCTCAAAGGCATAGCTCCTCCTGGGTATCACGTGTGCAGGCATCTCCAGCTGCTGCACAGGCTTTGCCTTTTTCTCTGGCATCTCCTGCCCTGATCAGCTACTGCCAGTAGGTCCAGTTTTTCTAAAAATGGTAGCTAGGTCATATCCTAAACCAAACCATTCCCCATCTGCTGTTAAAAATGTTCTTCTTTCCCTTTCTCCTGCAAAGTCATTCCCTGGCTTCGTCTGTACTGTTTCAGTGCTGGTGAGTGCAGAGAAGGGAGGAAACGGTTCTTCAGAGCATAGGAAAAACAGGTCCCTGGCCCATTCCTGGCCATGCCCACTGTTCCAGGTGATGTCCTGTGAAGTGGGACTGGAGGTCATTGGCTCTTAGGGGATGGCAGAAAGGCATTGTGCAGGAGCAGGGAAAATCCTCTGTGGGATGGTTTACAAGTTGTCTGGTCCCACACGAGCTGCTGGAAGGATGTGAGTAGGCTTTTTTTGATTGTAGACTTTGAAGGTTTTAGCTGCTGAGCCTTCTCATCTCTACTGGATGTGTGAAATGCAATTCTTTGAAGGCTACTAGCTTTCCCACAAAAATCCACTCCTAGTTGGGTAAGACAAAAGGCACGTGCCTGAAATGGAGCTGCACTTTGTTTCATGTCCCTGCTCTAAACACCAGCACGTGAGAGGATTTCAGACTAAGCCACCAGAAATTAACCTGGGCAGAATAATATACTTTGCTCTGCTTCATTCTTAGAAGTAATTGAAGTGCTATTTTTGAAGTTCTTCCAAAAGCTTTTATCCTTTAGACAGAAACAAGCTCAGAATATATAAGCTTAGACAATTAAGGTTTGGTAAAATTATAAGATGATGAAATTGGAGTCCTGTGGTAGGAAATGCTGATCGCTGTTTGTAATGGGTACGAGTCCTTCCTTTGTTCTAGAAATTGCATGATGTAATCCAGGCTACGCCGGTGAATTTCACAGGGACACACTGATACTCATTGGAAAAGCCATGCTTTATGGATGAGCAAAAAAGTATTCCACAGCCAAATAAAATACAGCAAAGTGTCTGTGCATCTTTGCAAAGAGTGATGTGCTTTGTCCTGTTTCAATTAATGCTATACAGCAGGCTAAAATCATAAATGTAAAAAATAAGGAAGCTGCACCAAGGCTGGTTTGCAAAGCTATACTGAAGGTCAGTGTTAGATGGTGATGATATGGATATCAGCTTGGATCATGAGTGTGAATGAGGTCTGTGATTCAAAACTGGGCAGTAATAGGAACCAGTATTAGGGTCAGGCAGGTGTGAAGTGATGAAGAAAATAAACTTTAATTTAAAACTCACGGGGCAAAATGCAATCAGTTCTGTAGATAGTGTGATTGTACTAGTAGAGAAATGTATTTTCCCCTTCTTCACCTTTTGCCCTCCATTCAATCACAGAAATCCATTGGTTCAAAGGTTTGGTTTTGACTTACCAGGCAGTGAAGAGGCTCTGATAAGACTTTGTAGCTATTAAACTTTTATAGGCTTGCAGCCTTGTGGTTAAAACTAAGGAGACAGTAACTGGTTTTTTCTCTTGGGGATGAGGTTTCAATTAAGTCAGTGTTGCTCAGTATTAGGATTCCAGCCTTGCAAGCTAATGAGCGTATGGAGTTTGTGTTACAGGGAGCAGGACCTTTGCCTGAGCCTAACAAGTTTCCAAAGTTACTCTGTCTCCTTTACCCATCTTTGCAAAATTCAGTTTCATTTAATGCGCTGATAGTGCTTGTTCTAAAGTCTGTGCAACTGCCATGTTGATGCTGCTGCAGACCCATCAAGCATTTTAACAAAAAGCAGAGGATACAGTTTTTCAGAAGTGTTTGGCATTGGCAACAGTTCCTCTCTCTGAAGTCGATCAGAGATGAGGACTTCAGACAATCTACCTGAAATCCCTGTGTTATAAGTTTTTATCTACTCCTTTGAGCTTTTGACTACTGGGTTTTAGACAGTTCCATGGCTTATGAGGAGAAAAAGAGATGGAACCAATGTTGCTTTAATGTCTTCAGTACAAATCAGTCCCTTTCAGATGAAACCCATGGTTGATTTGTGTACCTACCTGAAACTGCTCGTAAAGTCAATTTGGTATACAAGCATTTTTGGCGTGCCTTTCACTTGTCCTACGATTCCTCTTGAAAGGAGCTATGACTTTATGGTTTATGGACCAGGCTACCTTCTCTTGCAATGGGAAGTCCACACTGTGGATTTTGCTGATATCTTGTTAATTGGAAAGATCTAAAGTGGGGGGGAAATAAAGAAAACCTAACCTGGGAAAAGGTCTCAAGGATTACTGTTAAATAGAGAACTGTCCTGCTGGGGGGACAGATCTTTGTGGGGTTTTATGCTGCTCTACTGAAATCAGTGATAAGCGCAATCACATCAGCCATACGTATGCCTGTACACTGCTGTCTTTTCCTGACTAGTCCTTCACCTGCTTTTTCAGTTGCTGGATGTTGTGTGCCTTCTGTTCTGCTGTAAGACAGCAGCTTTGCATCTTGCTGCCTGTATGACTCCCATTCCCCATTCTGCATGATCTGCTGAATGTACTTATTGTGCATCCAGAAAAAGCTGAAATAGATGTTGATGGTTTTTGCTTTTTGTTTTTTTCCCCTGTCCCTTTTTCTCTCAACAGTTTTTTATCATGCTGTTAATTATATTTGTGTTGGAGCTCATTGTTGTGACTCTGTTCTTCCTCTACTCCGATAAGGTAAGTCAGATTTTTCATTTTTCTTTCCCCTTCAGCAAATTTTTATGCCCCTTTTCCCTATAAATAAATCATGAAGCACTTGGCTTGGTATTCACATCATGCTTCTGTCTTCCTTGAGACACCCCTCTCAGAAGGAGCTCGCTCAGAATGCATAAACAGCCTTGCAGGACTGCACTCTCTTGCTTGCTCATGTGTACAACTCAAGGTCACAGATATTGCCAAGTGCATCTGCCATTAAAAAAAAAAACAAGAAGACCAAACGAAACACACAAACACCCCCCACAAAAAGCAAAGAAGCCAACAGAGTCTTACTAGGAACATGTAGGAAGAGACACACATCAGAATGAACAGGATTTTTAAAAAATACTTTTATAACTTAAGAGCCACATTTAATTTTACAGGGTTGACCTTAGCACAGGCAAAGGAACACAATTCATTATCTTTCCAAGTTGCTCTTTGCAGCACATGTGTACTAAGATTCTAATGGAAAGCCAAGGTAAATGTATAAAAATTTAATAAACAGAGCTTTTGTTCATGGTTTCAAATTTTATTACATTTGTTCCTGTGCTTACTTGGTATTTCTGTTGTAATGGCAAGATTGCCTATCTGACACCTTAAAATAACTTTTCTAAAAATATATCTTACATGAATAAACCCCAAACAAGTGTATAATTGTGCATAACCTACCTATTCAATCAAGGGGAGCTTGAAAATCACAGGGTAGGTGGCCACATTTTGCCATTAATTAATAGTCATCAGATATATGACCAATAAACAGCTGCTTCTGGAATGAAGCAGTGAATAAAAATAAATATATATATATATAATTATATGTATATATAAAAATAAAAATAAATAGAAATTAAAAATAGCTACACAAAATATGAAAATAAAATTGTCAGTAGACCTCGTTATATTTAGTATGTTTAGCAATAACCTGGACAAGGAGTGGATAAGATGTCAACATTACTTTCATGAAAGGCTCCAAATTAATTAATGAACACTGTGAGTGATTATCAGGTACACTTCTGAAGGACTGAAAAGAGCTAGGTTGCCGGACAGCGTGCTATAGCTGCAACATGGAATTAACTTGCAAGGTAATTAAAGTAGAAGGGGCAATTTAAGATTACTTGTATGCATTATTGGATTCTGAATTACTTGTTAACCTCTTGGGAGAAAGATCTACACGTCATACGTGACAGCTTAATAAAGGCATTTACTTAATATGCAGTGGGCCTCCAAAATCCAAATACAACACTTGGCATATGTTTAGAAATGGAATCAGTTAGAAAATATTGTCATGTCGTTGTATAACTTGATGGACTCTCCTCACTGTGAATTTAATATTGAATTTTGGTTGCTTCATTTCAATGAAGGGTAACAGAAATTATTAGAAGCACTAGAGAGGTGGGAGAGGGCAGTCACGAAGAGGTATTATGGAGACTACCCTGATTCAATTTGGGAAAGAAAAGAGATCCTCTGCTTAAGAGCTCTTGAGAAGATAAATGATAGCAGTTTCAAAAATAATGACATACTAAAGACCTGTCCTAAACACAGAAGAAATACTTGAAATTATTAAGGGGTAGGTTTAAGAAGTAAATATTTCTTATGCTCCATGTCATCACCTTGTAGAATTCTCTATTGTTGTGGAGTCTGATAGTTCGATAAGTGTGTGGGTATGGAGGAAAGAAAAAAAAAAACAATGAAACATTTTTATTCATAGAGCAGTCAATGCTTTTATGTTGACAAATGTGTCACAGAGAATGCTGGTCCTCCCTGCTCAGAGGTAAAAATAGTGAAAAAGTGTCAGGAAGGATTCCCTGCCTGCTTCGGCCTGTTGGTTTGCAGTGGTTTTCATTTGTTCTTAATAAAGAAATCAGGAAATTTAACTTTCCTCTGGGTCACATACTGTATGTCGATGCAGAAGGTATGCTACTGTTGTCTGTGAGATCAAAATAGAGTCTAAAATACGGGCTCCAGTTCAAGTGTGGTTTTACTCAGTTAAGAAATTGCTATAGTCTGTGTATTGTGGATGATGGAATTTAAGGCTCTTAATGTTCCTGTATGACTTTAAATCCATGGTCTTATACTGAGGAAATCGATAGTTTGTGTTACACTTGAGGTCTGGCCTACAGAATAAATAAAACAGCAGCAGCCTAAAATTAGTATTTTTGTACAGCATGCTTAGAATTTGCCTGCTGGCTTTCCTGATGTGTATTGCCACGTGCGCTGGTATGGGGAAGTAGCTAACCCAGGTGAGTCCACCACAATAATTCAGTTAATGTAGTTCCTCGGAAAATCAGTGAAGGAGCAATCTATGCTAACACTTGCACATCAGAAGAAAATTACATTCATTTTGTGTGCAAAAGCAGAAGAGGGACTCTGCAGATTAGAGTCTTTGAAGGCCCCTGTATCGTTCACATATATATATATAATTATCAACTTTTTCAGTACCTGGTGCCGTTCTGATAATTAGAAATGTGTGTATATGTAAAGTTCTTCCCAGGATAAAATGGGGGCCAATATTATTTTCTATTTCTGGATTGAGAAGAGGTTGAATATTGGATTCTCTGGCAGTTTTCATTTACTCCTGCTTTGTCAAGTGGAAGGACTTTGGAGTGGATACTTCACCCCTTGCTGCAGAGTTTAATCAATACTTTCCTCTTCCGATGAAGCAGGACGGTGTTATTATCCTATTTAGGTGGAGAGGCAGAAGCTGAGAGAGTTGCCCAAGACTCTGCAGGAAGGTGGGGATGATTTTGAATTCAGAGCTCTTGGTGTTTCGGCAAGGGATTTGAGAGACAGCTTGTGCCAATGGCAGGGCTGTGTGTTGCAGCTGACTTAATAGCACTTGTCCAGGGAATGATGTCCATTGTGATCCTTCTGCTGTAGAATGGGCACAGGAGAAAGCTGGTGCTTGCACTGCAGTATCAGCCACAGGGTGAGAGTGCATCCAGGTGCATGTGGACACAGCACATGGGCTCCCAAGCTGCGAAGCAGTCTCTCTGTATCCATTGGTCAGACTGTTACTTTAGTAGCTTATTAATTATCAAAAAGCATCAAGACAAAAGTTCTTTACAGCCATTCACAGATAGGTTTTTGGCAGAGCACTTTTATTCTTTTGCTGTGGAAGAGCGTGCAGCTGCAGAGGTGGATGGGACAGGCTGCTGGGGCTCAAGACAGCCTAGACTGACCCATTCTCATCCATCAGCTTGGGAGAACCCCAAACATTGCCTCTACTTCTTGTTCTAGTGAATTGGCAGCAGCCTTTCTGAGCTTTTAAGCAGCCAACTTCCTCCCATGCCCTAGAATGTCATTTTCCCTTTTCTTGGTGGAGAAATGTTTGCTTTGATCTCATGAGATGAATACCATCGTGGACTTTACAAGTCTTTCTCTGAACTGTGTATGTGGTCTGATGTTGTAAAGAGAGAGGGGCTTGGAGAAAGCTCAGGAGTACATAGCATAGGAAGGAAAAGGGGTAAAGCCTTGCTTCTTGGAGGTTCACTGTGGATTTTTTTGGCAGGATGAGAGCTCACACCTTGTTCACTGTTCCTCCAACTGTCCTGGCTGGTTACATTGCAAAATACGAATCCCTTGAGTTCTGCAGAAGTGAAATGTGGGCTGTGTGGGAGTAGGATGAGGAAATGCATTCCTACGGGATGGTTGTGCAGGAAAAATATATAGCACTTTTATTTTGTCCTGGCTCCTTCCAAATCAGCAAAGTGACTAGTTCATAGGCTGTCTCCAGCTCAAAGTGGCCACCCGAGGAACTTGGGAGCTCCTGTTGGTGTTTGTGCATGTTCATATGCAGGTTCTCAAAATGTAGCTTTTTATTTTTTGAGGGCAGAAATTTCAGCCCAAGAGATGTGGGTATCAAATGGAGTTTGTGTGATTATGAGAACTAAGGCAGGTTGTTAGCACTATTTTTTCAGGCTAAATTTATGTCCCCATTTAAAGCAGTCCGAACTCCAGAGTCATGTGAATGGTTTTGTGAATGGCCGCTGATCTACAGTTTGAATATTCTCTTCTATATGTTTTATTTTTGTTCCATTTGTATGGAGCAGCATTTGACATTTTTATAAGTTGATCATTTCTATGTGAGGCTTTATATGTATTTATAAGAGATCTATGCAGTACTTATAGGGTTAACTTTAATTTTACTGTGGTAAAGAGAAAGCAGTAGGGCCCTATCCTGTCGGAGGCTGGATACTTTTTATATTTCTCAACACCAGATTGGAACCTGTTAGAATATAAATTATGCTAATAAAATGGATAGTCTTGTACCAGTTCTAACTTGTGATTATGTCCTTCTGGTTTTAGCATCTGTATTTATTTTTACTGTGATGATTCTCCTGGAGGCACAGAATAAAAATGTCCATATTTACTTTTTTCCAGCTGTAATACATGATTTTTTTTCAGTAGGTTTGTTTTTTCAGATGTCTGCATTTTTTCTGATTTATAAGCATAGCTATGGTGCCACTATTTAATGCCCACAAATGGAAGAATATAACTAAACTGCCATAATGTGCTTTCTTTTTTTCCCTTTTCTTTTTGAAATGTCAAACTGAGTAATACAAGCCAGTTTAAGGAACAAAAGCACTGAAGGATCACTGGCTATGATATTTGATTATGGCAACAGTTACTGCTATTGGCAACTCAAAGCTAAGACCAGAATTTTCAATAAAGACTAGGCCATTAACTCACTTGGGGTCCCTGTGAAAATTACAGCCTTAAATTCCATGCCTGCTTAGCTGTGTTGAAAATGGCCCACAGAATGGTAGAGGATTGAAAAATAATGGCTACTTCTGTTTTTCATGAGATGTGTGAAAATGCTCTTGTTTTCCATGTCGCAGTAAATTGTAATGAGTTCCTCTATAGCTTTTACTGCTAGCTTATAAAAAATATGGTCTGTAGATTGATGCATTTCTTGCTTTGTTTCTCAAAACATTTTACAAATTATTGTAATTCCCAATTGATATTTTGCCTGGTTCCATACAGAT